TGATGATGATCAAAGCTGTAGACAAAAGAAAACAAACGCATTCAATTTACATAAGGCCTTCTTGAAATTGCTGCTCCAGCTGCTGCTTTTTCTAGGGGCGTTGCTCATGCGCGTTCCGCTTTTGCGCTTCTGGTGCGGCATCACCTTAACGCCAGTGGCTCCTCCAACAAGCACGTCTCTTGCCTGCTTGCCTGCTGTTTGCTTGCTTTGCTGTGTCTCTGTTGTCTCTCCGCTCGTTTGGTGTCATTCGTTACGGTGTGCGGTCTTTGTTTTGTTATGGTTTGTTTGTTTATACACATACTTCGCCGTTTGGGCAACAATTGTTATTATGTTTTTATTTGCTTTTTTCATTTTTGTATTTGTTATTATTCTTTACGGCATTGTATTCAATTTGTGAGCTGTAGAATATGATGGCAGCAACAATTTGGCTGGCCGACCTTTAACGCCTCGTGCTATGCATAAACTGTCGCCCATAATTCGGCTTCATGTTTAATGTTCCGCGCTGCGTATGCGTAATATGGCACCTCAGTCGCTCCCACAGTCGCGGCCACACGTCAAGAACGACCCCTGGCTCGTGACCCTGTGACGTCAAAGGCTCTAACTAGCCCAACGAGGTCAATGTGGGTCAAAGTTGACATTGCTGATGGGCTGTCGATACCGGCGCACCCACACACACGCACCTACTATCTTATCAGCGCGCAGTTGGAGCAATTTGCAGCGGGCCTGGTTTGTGTAGACATTAACCCAAAAAGTGAAAACGCGCACACACATACACACAACTGGGAATGCGTACATGGTTTTTGGGGCAAGCACACACTCTATCGAATTGGAGCATCAGAAATGGGTCATCCAGACTGTGGCATACCGCGTACGGCACATCAATGGGTATCACAAATGCTCGAAGGTGATCGAACTCAGCAATTGTTGCGTCTTGGCTAAAACCAAACCATGAAGTGACTGATGTCTGAGCGACAAATTGAAATAGCGAGAATGACAGCATGATTAAAATACCCAACAAATACAGAAATCTTAAGAATTATTCTAAACTAAGATTATGAGAAAAAACATTTTCCTTTCTTTTTCCTTTCTTCTGAATGCCTCAGCAACAAAGTTGCAAGAATTGAATTACAAAGAATTTCCGCAAAATGAATGAAAATATTTAAATGAAATTCCGAAAACGAAATTGATAAAAATGCTGTCCGCGTCAACAAGATTTGGTTACAGGGTATACAAACAAGTAAGCAAAAAGTTGTCCAACACTAAAGAGCGTAACGAATATAATATCTACATACTTGTATATATATATGTGTATATGTGTGTGTGCATATGAAAAGATGTTGCTATTGTTGGAGTCTGGCCCCACAAAGATGGCATGCTAATTTTGGAGTACAAGAGGCGGCTATTTATGACCTGACTTTAATTTGCCAGCTTACAGCTCGGAGTGGGCGTCACATAAACACATAAAGAGATGTATTTAGAACGGGATAAGCACATTCGGTTATGTGTCATCTGCCGGGCCGAGAGCGAGTCGTCGACCTTCGCTCACATCCGAGGGGGGAGGACGACACCAAAATTGGCAATGCCTGGTCGGGTCTGATCGGGCCTGGTCATGGGCGCACAGAGAAACTTGTTTTCTTTTTTGTTTTTTTGTTTTTGTTTTTAGCACAATGTAAAGCACTTCCACGACTGTTCAATGACTCGATGACTTCATCGACCCCATCCCTCTCCCTCTCTCTCGCGCTCACCTCTCCGGCTTCTGCTGACTCACAGGGCGGATGAGCAATGATAGTTGTTGGATTTTCTTAAATGCGATCGAGAGCTTGTTAACATTAGAGCTCACGTTGAACTGCCTCCTTTTCTTATCTTGCAGCTCCGCATTGCCGGGCCGAGGCCACAGCACGTGCCGCATCATGACTTTCTACTGGTGGTCGCACTGGTTCTGGGTAACCTGCTTGAGTGGTAAGTTCCTCCGATTAGCCCAGTTTATAGTGCTGAAACGTTTCCCTCTTGCAGTGGTCCTGCTGCCCAATGGCATCACACATGTGCACACATATCCCAGTCACGAGATTAGCCTAGAATCAACGACGCAGCAGGAGGAGCGCATGCTGGAGCGGACCGAGGCAGCCAGCCATGATGCTGACAGCCGTCGACAGACAACGAAGCTATACCAGACCACGGCCAGCCAGACCTGGGCCACGGTCACACAGCGCAATATCATGGACTTGACCATCAAGACGACAGCGGCGCCCAAGGCGACGCCCGCCGTCGCCATAGTCGAGAGCCAGCCGGAGGGAGTAGACGATGTTGAAGCGCCCTTCTCGGACTCCATCGATGATGATGACGATGTTGGGGGCGATGTTGATGTGGATGTTGACGTGGATGTGGAGGACGATGACAACACCGAGGCAGGCATGGACGATGTGGACAAGGAGGTCGAGGAGGCAACGGTTAAGCTGACGCTCTCCCACAATCAGTTCGAGTTCAAGCGCTCGGCAGACTTTGCGTCGGTGCCGAAAGGCGCTGCCGCTGTGCCCGTCGAGCCACTGAGCAACTATACGAATTTCAGCCGTAGCACAAGGTAAGTGCCCCACGCACCACTCACGCTCCAATTCGCCTTGTCTAACCGTTCGTCTCGTGCAGTACAAATAGCAGCTCCGCTTGCAACGCCACGTGCATGGCAGCTGCCTCTAGTGCCAGTGGTGCCGCCGCTGTGAGCACCACAGTTGCAGCAACATCCACATTAGCAGCAGCAGCAGCAGCAACAACAACTAAATCAACAGCTGCAGCAACAACAACAGCAACAACGACGTCAACAATCAGCCCGCCAACGAACAGCACCGGCCAAGCCGTGCCGGCCACGCCCTCGACGCCAAAAATCAACACCGAGTGGCTGTCCGATGAGCTGCAGCGAGTGTCGTTCACGCTGGAGAACGCTAACAAGGAGGACGAGCTGCGCCGGGCCGAGAGTGAGCATCGTTCGCGCAAATCCAAGGTCCTCTCCGCCGAGTATAAGCACATCAACCGCTACATCAACTACTCCAGCGACACGAAGAGTCTTCTCGCCCGCTCCGCATCGGCGGCGCCCAGCATTTCGGGCTACGAGGCCGCGGACGAGGGCAACATATCCTCCGAGGCGCTGGCCATACAAGTGAGCATCGCCAGAGCTTCCGCTGTGAGCATTTGTTCAGTCTCCTCTTGCTTTGTTTCTGCTTGCAGCGCACCTATTTCCTGGACGCTGGCGCCATCTCGGCCATTTGCTTCACGGTCTTTGGCATCTGCTGCACGGTGGGCACCATTGGCATTGTGCTATATCGTCGGCGCTACGTCAACAAGCCGCAGGCGCTTAGCGAGCCCGACTCGAGCGTGTACATCGATGATAGCACGATGCGTGTAAGTGTAAGGATTCGTTGGCCAATTGCCTGCGGGCAGCGTGCACTATACGCCCGACTAACTGGGTTTCTCCTTTGCTTTGTGTTTAGGATAACTCGGATGAGATGTACAGCCTGGACAATGACTCGTTCCTCAACTCCCTGGAGGCGATGACAATACAGAACTATTGGACGGACACGGTCAAACATACAAAGCTTTAATTTCGAGTGTCTGCTGTGGAAGCCTCCCCTCATCGCCATCGCCATCGGCATCGTCATCGTCATCGTCATCGTCGCGTCATCATCTGCTCAGTACTCCCATTGTGGCCCAGATACTGACCTATCCTGACCTTCACAAACAGCAAACACACATCATAATCATTAAGTAGGCGCCACGGAGCGCAGTGTAGCATTTAAGCAGCGGCCCTCCCCAGGCGGGGCCAGATGTATGTATTTACTAATTGATAGGCATTCGTGCAGCTCAAAGGGCTTGTAGGCAACCAAGCGAGCGACTAGTTTTAAGCCAACTACCAAAATTATGTTTAGTACGTCTATATAATATATACTTTAAGGGCGCAATGTTATTTGCATAGTTTTAACTGTTGATACTGTCTGTCTGCAAATTGAATATTGAAGGATTCTCTCCAAGTGCACATACATATTTATTAAAATATGTGTGTCGGTATGTATGTACGTATGACAGCATTCCTGGTTTATTTGTACTCTCAATTATTTCAGTTAAGTTCGACCTACTTTCTCTCTCTTTACTTATATACATACGTATGTATATACTCGTTTACTATAGGAACTTAACTTAATATTTATATTTTAATATTTATGCAACTCTAATTTTAATATTGTTGAGTATTTTTCCAATAACTTTATTTCGTTCTTTCGAGTTTCGTGATTAATATGTATGTTTGTAATATTTATACATTTTCGATTTGTGTCTGTCCAACAATTAAACGCAATCATTCCTTCCAGTTTAGCATATAGTGCAACTTTATATGAAATTATTGTATTACAAATAAATTAAACATACCACTAAAAAATTCACACACAATATAAACTGTTTACTGCCACAAGACTTTTTGTCAATTTTGCTTGTCGAAATTGTAAAGACACGATTTTAACTAATATGTCCATTATTCAATTTACGAAATGGTAGTTATATAAACGATCCTTTCTAATTAACTGTTACCAATGGCTTGTTGGTTACTGGGCTACTTTTAACCAAAATATTTTGGTACGCCTACTATTGAATGTTTTCTAAAACGGCTTTGATATAGAAAAAAGTATATCTCTGGTACATAATAAATATAAATATTAAATAAATCGCTTGTGGAACGCGTTAATCGATTGGCATTCTGAATTATTAAAGGCAGAGGCCAAGTTTATTCTGGCTACATATATAGTTTGTGTTATTTAGAAATTTTGTTTTTGCTGACTATATGTATTAATTCAAATGTGCGCCGATAACAAGTGCCGCAGATATCGATAGCTGACGTCGTCCCTCATTTCGATAGTTTCACGATAGCTATCGCAAAACGTACAATATATCGAATAGATGACGAGTCTCAATCGACAATCGTGCTTGCCACCGGAATGATATTCTCATATCGATACATTCTGCCATCCCCACACGACACTGCATTGCATTTCGAACTCAAGCATAAACACATCCATTTGTTGCAATTATATGCGAATTTCGTGTGTATGGTGGATAAAATAATACAATACATTAAAATTAAATGTGAAGTTGTGTCTGAATAATCCTGTAGTGTTTTATAAAGGTAAGACAACGACGCAGAAACTGAAACTCCATTGGCGTTGTGAGTGGTCGCGCGTTCGACGTCATTTTGTTTGCGACTCCCAGAATCTTGCTCTCATCTACAAATATTTGCAATGCTGTGCATTTCATATAAAACTTCTTGTTGTGCTTTCATGTTGGATTCGACTAGCATCCCTGGCACCAGTGGCAAGCATTGGCATCCATGGCTTACTTTGGCGTCTATATACCGCCATCCAAGGCGGGCTTTGAGGGCAATTTAACCCAATGTGCGGGCTCCATAGCCGCGGACAACATCAAGATTTCCCCAGAATGTCCGGCTAGTGGGGCAGAAGAATCGTCAGCATATGAGGATCCTGAATATCCACGTAAGTTCTGTTGCTGCAGCCTAGGCGTGTCGCCATATTTGTGTGAATAAGTGCATGTGTACGTCCATACATCCATACAAATCTAAATATGAGCGTACATACATACAGACAAATCAACATGMATACCTATATACGTATAAGCGACCATGAACACATAAACAAGCACGCACATACGCACATACGCACTTGTTTGTTTGTATTGGAGCTTGTTGTTTCGTGCCGTAACGTAATCAAAGCGCGCGTTTTAAGGAAGCGACGGCGTCATTTGTTGCGCATCGCAGTTAGCATTTTCGATATGCTTGCAGATGGTATTTATAACGTTGTCAAACAAAGTTAAGCGCACTCAGGTGAGAATACTCACGGTATATAGAGCTAACTAACTTCAACATAATGCGCATCAGCTTTGAGTTCCTGTTAAAAATGACTTATTTTTTGTTAATAAACAAACATATTTGCAATATTTATTGCAATTTGAATCTAACAGCTCTATATTTGAGCGCACTTCAGTTTGTTTGGCTTGGCAAGTTGTTCGGGAAATCATCAAATTAATCCGTGTACTTGTTGCATTTCGTGAAGCTACGAAATTCACTTTGTGTTTCTTAAATCCCATACATAACTATTGTTGTTTTTCTTGAATCAGAGCTCTATTTTTATAGCTCCCTGATGGGGAAAAAAGGCAGCACGAATAAATTCTTAAATTCGTTTGGGCCAGATATGCGAATGAAAATATAAAATCAATTGAATTTCGTGTTGGGCTTTGATGTGCTGCTGCCTACCGGCTGCATCATCTCATCAATTACACAGCTCCGCTGGATACACGAAAGTGGGTGTGGGATTAGCAGCGTCATCGATGCACAAGTCGTAAACAAATATGGGCAACGTACGATTATGGCCGTGAATTGAATCGGTTTGCTGCACCTCTGACACAACGTAATCTAATTAAAATGAGCTTTGTTTATTTGCGAGCACGGACAAGCTGCAAGTTTATATCGGAAAGCGTGTGGCTGAGTTCTGTGGAGCTGCAGATATTCCACTTCAGTCAATGTCATCGATTAATTAGTTCAAAATAAGCAAGTATTAGGCAACCTTAGGGAAACTATATTTTATCTGCCAAGAACTGCCATGTGAATAATATTAGAATATTGTCAGGTAGAACCCAATGCTCTATTCAAATCCCACTTCCGTCTCTGCTTCGATTCCCTCTGAGTTAAGACTGTCACTGAAACCAATTGCAAGAGTATTTATTCTGTTATTATTATTCTCCCCAGCAAAAGGGTTTGCTTATTTCGATTTGCCACACATGAAACGCTCTTATTTGATTGTTATTATTATAAACAAATAATTGCTGGATGGCCGGAGTAAATATTTACGAGTCTTTGCTTTGTTAATACAAATATACAAAGTGGGTGAGGAGCAGAGCTCTCCTTTCCATATACCGTTCATATGGACGCCCCTCATCCCAGCGCATCAAATGCAATATATACACCAATCTATGTCTATACATACATATGTATCATAAGTACACTTCTGTATTTATTTAAGTTTCTATTTTAAATAAGTATGAGCTGCTGAGACGGCCAACAGAAAGATTGCACGACGATGTTTCCATATTTAAATCGACCTGGCTCGCCTGGTCGAGGTGGCATGTTCGTCGCTCCTCAATCCAATCGCCAGCCTCGTTCGCCCAGCAGCTCACTGAGTTCAGAGAGTCTTTCCCAAACATAAACAAGAGCAATAATAGAGAAAAATTGCGTGCCAATAACTGCGTCATACGCACATTCTCGCGACGTCTTCGTCGCCCACGGATTGTTTTCTGTTATTTCCCTTTGTGGTCGGTCGGTCGGTCGAACGGTTTTGTTCCGCGTCAAAAGCGTCCGTTGCCCGCTTTCCGCTGTCCGCTGTTCGCTTGCTGTTTCCCGGTGTCCCCACGCGACCTCGGCGACTCTCGCCGTTTAGCATGGTGTTTGTTTTGCTCAGCGCATTTCTTGCTCTGTCTGGCATCGCCCTATCCGCACAGATGGCGTGACCAGACAGCCAGCGAGTGACAACCGCTGACAGATTTGTTTTTGTTTCATTCGCTCGATCAGTCGCTCACTCGTTTGGCTGCCAAACTGTTGAACTGTTGAAATAACTTGCTGAATACCCTGAATCCTTTCCAGCCGACTCGCCGCTTTGGCTGATATTCAAGGAGAAGTCCAAGGCGCTGGACGTCTTGCGCCACTACAAGGAGGCGCGTCTGCGCGAATTTCCCAACCGTGAACAGGCAGAGAGCTACGTACAATTCGGCTTCGAGAGCATCCAGTCGCTGAAGCGCTACGGCAAGGCGAAACCTGCCAGCAGTAAGTATATGTCGGAGCAGAATCTATTTACTCATACGTAGAATAACAACAAACAGAAATAAC